AATAAATAAATAAATAAATAAATAAATAAATATATCCTGTACTTTCATGATTGTAATGGCAGCTAACTCCCATTTATAGCATAATCCTATATGTACTTAGTACTTAGATGGTAGTTTCAATAGTATTTAGACTCAGGTATGCAGAAAAAAGTATTTAGCAAAAGGTAATAAATGCATATATGAGTATACCAGAGGTGTTAAACTGGCATCCCACATGCAGATGCGTCACATGCCCATCCCAGCTTCGCAAAGGCAAAAAATATCACGATGTCACGTGATGTCATCGAGTTTGACACCTGTGGACTATCTGCTGAGATTTTCAATCATATATTCTAGATTTCTTGGAAATATTGATTGGCTACTGCCAGAAGAATCTATTATCTATTTAGTATAGTGACCATTTAAATTCTACCTTTATTTTTGCAGCACTTTTCTATTTTGGTCTCAAATTATTTCCAGCTACATTCACGTGGCATCTGACATTTAGAATGGAACCTTTTTGGAAGAAGTGAGAATATAATGAGCTATAGTTTTGCTCTCTTCATAGCTAAATCCTTCAGAACATAAGTTTTTCTGTAAGATGTTTGCAAGGGAAGAAAATCGAAAAAAAATTAAAGTGTTCTTCAAAGTGACTTCACTGCATAATTAAGACGTCACAGACCTCATTTCATTCATCTTTGTAACTATTATTTTCTATAGTATTGAAGAATTTCAGTGATTATCATATGGGAGAATTATGGAAATAAGAACAGAGACAGAAGCTTAGATAAGGCCACTCAACTCATCACGATGGTGAAAACTGAACTTTCATTCAGTTCATACATGCAACAACATATGAGTAATGTTTTTACTTATTGTTGTCATTTAAGATTGAATGTTAGTCATTGTTGCCTTCTCTCAGATGATTTACTTGACAAAATTATTCTGGGTATTGCATCCCTTCCTGATATATTTCTTTTGCTTTGAATTTTAGATGACCTTAATGTAAGTGCTATCATAGCTTCGGTGGTCATTGTGGCCTTAATAATAGCTTCCTGTGGTCTTGGGGTATATTATGCACAGAAGAAGGGTTATTTTTTAAGTAAGTAGAATTTACCCTTTCTTTAAAGTATTGCAGGTATTTCACTGCCTATTTGCTTGTGAATTGTGGTTACAAATACAATTAGGACATTAGAAGTGGTTCATGGGGGATAGGAAGGAATAAAAATGATGCACATCTGGTAACTGGATGTTCAAAATCCAACCCTTTTTATGTGCACTGGATTCATTGTGTACACTAATAATGATTAGGTGATGATGTTGACATCCCACTCACCCTATGACTAACCCTTTCCTGGTTGGAGAATCAACAGAATTTATATTCTTCACTGATTAAGCACAATTAGATTTAATGTTCTTTTGATAATTTGGGAGGCACTTCCATGTATTCCAGCAGACAGCATTACTGCTATTATTGAGAAACAACATGACTAGAGAATAATGCAGCTCCACAAAAATAAAGATTCTTTTAGAAATGTGCCATTATTCACATTGGAAAGAAATGTCTAACTATTTGAGGCTATCAGAAATTTTGAAAATCATGAAACTGTTTGGCAAATTTAACTCTAAGAACAGAAAGTAGGAATGTGCAGTACAATTCTGAAAAGGTGCATTTATTTTTTGTTTGTTTATTACATTTATTGGCCCATCTTACCAGATGGTAACTCTGGGTGGCTTACACTATAAAAAAAGATAAAACTATACAAAACCAATGGACAATATAAATACTATAAAAATCAAAATGCTCATCCCTAATTATAAAAGATGGGGCGGGAAGGAGTAAGGTGAGAAGAGAGGGGGGAGATGGGATCGGTTATTAATCTATCACTCCCAAAGGAATCCCCTCCTTTGAAGCCCAAGTCAATTGGTAGTGTCAGGTTTTTAAATATTTGCGGAAGGCCAGGAAAGTTGGACTGACACTTTGCTTCTTTTATCATGATTAGCTGCATTTCCTCCAAGATTATATGTCTGCTAAATTGAATATTGTATCAGAATCTGCTACATTTGTGCCTCCATGTATACCTAGATACCTTTTTGGAATTCAATCTGAACCATTATTTGAACTCTAACAGGTGCATTCTGGATTATGAAATGCAACTAGTATGCACATACTAGCAATTTAAAAACTGGTGCACTTTTCTTTACCCAAAGAGTGATGTTTAGTCAGCATGTTTAATCTTTGCAGAATTTTTATTGTTAACTCCCTCTGCCGGATTACAATAGAAGCACACTCATTTACAAAATACTTTGCTGAAATAAAATCCACTTCACTTTCAGCAGAGCAGCTGGTCAGTTCTTGCTTTCTGCATGCCTTACTCTTACAGGAACAATGAACCACAAAAGGAAGAGAACAATTTGGATTCTTAGCAGCAAAACTGAGCCATTATTCTTTGAGGAAGCAGGCAGGAGAAATCTAACAATATTTTAAGTCCATTGTGGGGGGAGAATCTGTATCCTAATCTTGCCTTCTTTCTCCACGTTTCTCTAGATTCTATCAATTTCTGAAAATATGTTTATTATTTTGTAATATCATAATTTCTAAGAAGTATTGCCCTATTGTGGCGTTGAATATTTTCATAATTGATCAAAAGGACTTTGTATTTTTAAGCATTTCAATAGCACACCATGAAAATATTTTTAAAATCTTGTTTGTTCTGTTCAGACACATAAAACATTAGATAAGAAATAGTTGTGACTAGGTTTGCTAAGACCAGCACCTACTTATAATTCCATGGCAAAGCAATCCACACTAGATAAAGACCAGATGCTCAATAAACTTCTTCAAATTATTTAGGAAATGTTCCAAGTTAAGCTATCCCTTAGTAGGATGAGAAAAAGCACAATCTGCAAGAAAATTCATACTGAGAAAAAACATTCCTTAAGATCAGATGTGTCAAACTCATGGGCTATGGGCCAGATGCATCACGCACTGGCCTTGCCCACCCCCGTTTTAGTGAAGGGGAAAAAGTCACGACACGTCAAGTGATGACGTGGCAATGCAAGTTTGTCACCCCTTCTTAAGATTACACTTTCAACCATGCAAGTCATGTTAATATGTAACTGCAGTCTTATAGGAAATACAAAAAAGAATGTGTCCAAAAATCAGTGAGAGAATACAATAGCAAAGCAACTCAATGTTTTGGTAATAGTTAATTTTTCAAAAACTTTGCAATTAATATTAATATCAAATTGCATTAGTCTTATTGCATTTTGTCCTTATTTTTCTAGAAAGAAATTCTTCAATGTAAGTACAGTTACTTTTCTGTCTATTGTCATGTTTATATTGCCAAAATGTTAATCATAATTTTTACTGGGTTGTGGAAGCAATTGAATAGAATTAGTAGATTTAGTTGCATTGACCTTTTGAAGACTATAACCTATAAATTTTGGCACAGCTGGAAAATATTTAAAGAGTGTGGGTGATTTCTAATACATCATCTAAAAATTTGAATACAGTAGTCATTGGGCAATCTTTTTCTTTATGCATTATACAGTTTCATCATTGTACGTGTATAAAGTATACTTTCTCTTATGGTTTATGGGCATTGGATTAAATATATAGTTCACTTTCATTAATTAAAAGAATAGTAACTGCTGTTTTCATAAAATGCATACATTTTCTATTTAGACAAATCATTTAAACCACATTTCTATTGGAATATTTCAACATGAGAGTTTTATACACATTATTATTATTATGGTCACAAAAATAAGGCATTACTCAATTTAAAATTTGATGACTGGTGTTGCTTTACACAAGAAAATATTTTCCTCAGTACACTATCTAGGCAGCTGATAAATTTTGGGTTCAATTCAGGGAAACTCAGTTGAAGTATGTATGAAAAACCTTTATATTCACGAGATATATAGATTGACCAGAAGTCCTCAGATGTAAATGTTTGTTTTTTAATTTCATGAGCAGGAACAATAGTTCAAAGTACAGAGCTACAGAAAGTGGAAAAGTGAGTATTCTGCATCTATCTGCATGTTTCACATAGTTACTATGTAAAATGCAGTAGCTGAAAACTGAACAAATCAATTGAACCTAGTAATATATTCTTGCTGAGTGTGGGAAGAAATAGGTAGGGAAAGAAGATGGGACTTGATTTTGAATATTCCCCAACATAAATGTTCCCATCAAATGTTTCTCAGCCTTTGGGCAAAGATGAAGTGTGGTATCGCTTCAAATGAATACTAATATTTCAGGAGGGGAAGAGTCCGAATAGCTATTTTATGTTTAAGCATAAATTTAGCTTATATAATTTACCTACCTAGGTATAGAAATATATATGTAATGTACATAAAAAATTAATGTAAATAAAGTCTACCTTTAGAATAATGTACATTTTGTTTTTTGCTATGATCTTTCTTTCATACATGATCACTGGCAGAAAATGTGATATTAGGTAGATAGATATCCATGGAGATGCTAGTAATATTTATCATAATGGCCATAAAGTGGCCACGAGCTATGGATTCATGTCATTGTGTCTTGACTTCAGTTCACATGCAGACACCAGATTACTATAAAAATGACCCCAATGTTTACAAATTGACTAGTAAGCTTCTACAGCATGAAAGGCATGATGGTGCTCCTAATATTTGTTGAGCAGTAAAATATTTGCTCTTGTAGCATCAGGTACATTGTTAGTTTGGGGATTATGAGCCACAGTGGCACAGTGGTTAGAATGCAGTACTGCAGGCTACTTCTACTGACTGCTGGGTGCCTGAAATTTGGCAGTTAAAATCTCAACAGGTTCAACCTTCCAACCTTCTGAGGTGGATAAAATGACAACCCAAATTGTTGGGGGCAATATACTGATTGTGTAACCTGGTTAGAATGGGCTGTAAAGCACAGTAAAGTGGTATATAAGTCCTATTGCTATTATGCATGTATGTATTTGTGAGAAGTGGAGGAAAGAAAGGCAGGTCAGTACTCTTCTGTTTCAAGATGATATAAAGTAGCATAACTTGTATACTTACATATAATCCACCTAGTGTGATGAGCACATACATGGCCACTGGTTGTTTACAAATACTACTTCATTAACCTCACTAGAACTTGATTGATTGAATTATGTTAATTATTTAATTATGTTAATTATTTAATTCCTTTAGGATTTCAAGCACACCAAGTCCTTTATTATTTAAAAGAAGGTCGATTTCTGAGGATCAGAATTTGCTGCAGAAGATATCAAAGGGATGTTTGAACTCTTCTATAAAAACAATGTTAGGAGCAACAAGAAGAAACAACTGGTGGCAGTTTTCAAGATTCTATTGCTAAAAGGTGGTAAAAGCTGTCAAAAATGTTAGTCTGATGTTGCTTGTTTACTAAAGGAGTGCAAATAATTGGCAGAATATAAGTATTGCTGTTTCACATGCCTATATGTAAAAAAATAGTGAACTAATGATGTAGTTCTGATTATTAGATCTTAAAAAGGGTACTGTTGAGTAGAAAAATGTGTGTAAAAGAGCAAACAAATTTATGAAGGCATCAAAAGGTATCCTAAATAGGAACAGTGTTTTGAGACTTAAAGAATTAAATAGGAAATCACTGGGACCATGACCAGGCTTTATAAATTATGTAATCTATGAAGATTATGACAGATTGGTGTTTTCTCACTGACAGCATTAGCTCCCATGGCCTTTTGGTGAAATATGGATGAAAATATCCTATGCAGAAAAAAAAATATGATTCACATTAATTTTTGGGATTTTTGCTAACTACTATTGGCTTGGATGGCATGGAATGAGAATTAGACAATTTCATTTAAGACAAGACTAAAATGGCTACCAGTTGTGATAAGCAAATACTATTTCCCATTTTTTACCGAGTATTAGTTTGTGAAGACAAACTATAGGAGAAGGCTACCTCTTCTCTCTAAGGTTGATAGAAGCATTAGGCGCTAAAATCAGAAACTGGATTACATAGCACTTTGGCCTAATTAAGAGGGCTAATTACAAAGCCACTTTTCTGAAACGAATTGTGACTGGAGTAGCCTTAAACAATTATCCATATTATTCCAAAACAGAGTTTGGGCTTTGGCATTCATGGAGGACTTCCTCTTTCTCTAGAGTTTGACCACTAAAACTGCTGCTATCATTGCCAAGAAAGGAAAACAACTGCAATCAGTCTGTCTCAATTTATAATAACCAGATTTCATGAAACAGAAACATTTCTAACAAATTGGTTTGAAAATTACTGTCAATTTGTATCATTAATTTGGATTTGAGGGTAAATGTTTTGTTGCTGTTGTAGGGCTAGGATCAAGACAACAACTGTTATTGTAGTGATAAAAAATATGTGCTCTTAGTCTGAAACTTTATTCAAAAGTTTATGTGTGTAATCTACTGCAGAAATGAATGGAGCTGACAACCTCTCAATGACAAAGAACTGCACTTTTCTATTTGTATGACTGGACTTTGAAAGGGGATTTGTCATTGAAATAAACGAAGCCTAAATATGGCATTATTTTAGTTGTTTTCCACTAAACACAGAAAAAAGATTGCCATGCAATTCAATGGTATGATTTTGTGTGTGCTAAAAATATAAAGAATTACCTGAGGATACCCTCCTTCCCAACCCAAGTGACAAAAGATACCAATTCACTCAGTCCATTATTTGAAGTTGAGGTTTTTCTTGCAGTAAAAATATTATTTAAAAGCATTTTGCTTTAAGTATTTTTAAGGATTTTGATGGCTTCCAATTATATATTTAATATTGAAATTATGGTAAATGGTTCTTTACCACCATTTATACTTTTATTTTATTTTAATTTTATTATTTAATAGTCTAGGAGGGATATATAGATGTATGTACGTACGTACGTATAGTTTTTATATGATACTCGGGTGTCTGTATCTCCAACTGTTAAACAATGCAATAGATTTCAGAGTATTTTGCACATACCCCACAATCTTTAATTTGAAAGTAAAACACGGCCATCTAACAAAGCAATGCATCATTTAGTACTACCAGTGTTTTGCTAGAATAAAAGAGAATGTTCAATTTTTAAAATACTAGGAACATTGTGATTTTTCAGTCACAAATAAAATCAGTAGCCTAGATCTGAATTTAATCATATTTATAACAAATGTAAAAAAAAAATTATAAGCATACACTTAAATCACAAACTGCATTTTGACAATTCTCTTTTATATTAAAAATCCTAGAAATATCTAATTTGGCAGTCATATAATTTATAAAAATAAATATGTGATACTTCACAGTTCTCAAAATGAAGTCAACATTTAAAGGGGGGAAATCATTTACTGTTCTTTTAAGATTTAAAAAAATATGTACTCCTTTATTAAATTGGTAATAAAGAATATTCAGTTTTAATATCATTGACATAGTGTAGGCTTGCTTACTATCTTTAAAGTAATTATTTACTTTACTAAAGATCAGTATTAGCAAATTATGGACTTTGTGATGAAATTAGCTACAATCTTAATGGCTTTTCTGTTTATTCAAAAGCAAGTATTTCCGTAAAAGACTCTGTGTAAAGATGTGGAGACTCTAGAAAGAATGCAGAGAAGAGCAACAAAGATGATTAGGGACTGGAGACTAAAACATATGAAGAATGGTTGCAGGAACTGGGTATGTCTAGTTTAATGAAAAGAAGGACTAGGGGAGACATGATAGCAGTGTTCCAATATCTCAGGGGTTGCCACAAAGAAGAGGGAGTCAAACTATTCTCCAAGGCACCTGAGAATAGAACAAGAAGCAATTGGTAGAAACTAATCAAGGAGAGAAGCAACTTAGAACTGAGGAAATATTTCCTGGCAGTTAGAACAATTAATCAGTTGTGAATGCCCCAGCACTGGAAGTCTTTAAGAAGATGTTGGATAGCCATTTGTCTGGAACGGCATAGGGTTTCCTGCCTAGTCAGGGGGTTGGACTAAAAGACCTCCAAGGTCCCTTCCAACTCTGCTATTGTATTGTATTAATTTGTAATGAAATATTTAGTAATATGCTTTTACAAGCATATTGGATGAAAAAGAATCTATATGTATAATTTAATTCAAAACACCAGTGCACACTGTTAGCATTGAACTGTTTATTTAAGTTATAATTGCAGACTAACTCAACATGTCCAACCTAATGTTTCCTATACACGTGATCACATCACTTCTGAACTTCATCAAATTTGGGTTCTGTTGAGAATAGAAAAAAAATCTTGTTAGTTTATTTTGAAAATTATTTTCTAATTTGATTCCCATTGTCATGTACCAGACATAAAGTCAGACTGTTCAACACACATTTTTTTTGTATAAGAGCAAATAAATGCAGCATTTCCTTGTGATATACCATGGCATAAAAACGTTCAAGTAATCAACATCAAAAAGCAACATTGGATTCTAATTTTTTCATACTAGAGGTACGAATCACTGAAATTGAATTATGCAAAAATAAAGCTTGTTGTTTCTTAGTAAAGCTATCATCTAAAATAACAAAAGGGAATTTTAGGAAGTTTCATAAAGTATAATAACAATAAAAAAACTTACATTGATTGTAGCTGATATAAATATTAACACAAAAATACCAACTGTGAATGTGTATAGATATTATTGGAAATGGAACAGATTATCATTGTGCCAAGAATATGAAAACGTGGGCTTCTACAATTTCATTTTAGTATTAATATTTGGATATGTTTCATAAATGTATTGAAATTACAATCTGGTGATTGAGTTGTTTTAAAACAATTCAGAACCAGTAAACTACATTTAGAATTCAAATGTATTAATTACTGCCTGCTAAGTCTGAATAAAAAGCCAGTTTGGTGTGGTGGTTAAGGCATCAGACCAGAACGCAGGAGACTATGAGTTCTACCTTAGGCATAAAAGCTAGCTGAGTGTTTTTCGGCCAATCACTTTCTCTCTCAGCCATAGTGAAACATCTTCTAATGGGATAATATAGCAGCCATGGAAGGTAGAAACCAAGGAAACCATATAGGAAAAGGTACAGGTGCTTTAAGGAGTAGTAGAAAAGTGTTTGCACCCTGAAGCACATTTTTGCCTCAATCAGAAATGCTGCACATAATCTATTGCCTGTAATTATATTATAACCATCAGTAAACTTCGGATTTTAATTACATTATATATTAATACAAGTAATCCTTGATTTACAAGCACAATGAGTAACAGAATTTCTGTTGCTAAGCAAGGCTTTGCTAAGTGAATCACACGGATGTTAAGCAAATCCAACTTTTCCCGGTGACCCAGATGAAATCTACCTGGGAAAGTCACACATGACCCCAGGGTGCTGCAACGGTTATAAATACATGCTGGTTTGCTAGTGTCCAAATTTTGATCACCATGGGGATGCTGTAAGGTCATAAGTGTGATGATTGATCTTAAGTGACTTTTTTCGGTGCTGTTAGAAATGATTGTAAATCGAGGACTACCTGTAATGGGCACATTTCTAAAACCTTACGTTCAAATTTGAACTCCGGAAATTTGGTCATGTCTCCTCCGCCATATAACCGTGTGAGTTTCTCAGTTTGGTCATTCAGCTCTTTCTCATATTCTGAACCAACATCAACAGGGCCACCAGTTTTTCTAAAAATACAAGAACTGTTATTTTCCAAAGAAATAAAAAAAACCTGGTAACATATTTTTAAAAAGATCTCTGTATGAGAATTCCAAATTAATTTTTGGGAATCTACAATTTATTTACTTTAAACACAAACAGAATGACAACTGATTACCAGATTTATAATACATAAACATATTCATAATAGCTTTCAGATCATTTGCTGCATTACTGCTAAATTATGAGAAAAAAGCCATAGGAAAATACCATTAACAAATTGATTAATCAGGAAATTCTAAATTGAATTATCAGTCACCAATATACTTGCAGAACAATCTTAGGCCGGACATAAATATATTGGGTTTCCAACTTGTAACCCATTGACGTCTTTGGCACCTATTGGAATCAATGTGCCTACACATTTCTCTTAGGAGCAAGAGTGGGCAATAAAATTTCCCAAAGAGGCCACATCAGAAACTGGGCCTATTGTGAAAGGACCCTTTTGTTTCCGCTGTTTCTGCAGGTCAAATAAGTATAGTCAAAAGGCTGGATGTGGCCTGCGGTCCATAAAATCCCCAGGCCTGCTTTGGAATATACCAGATTTCCTGCTCCACAATTTTAATTTTAAAATAGAATGCTTACAAGAAAAATTGCAGCCTCAATTTCATTTTCTAGTATGCCTCCACCACTCTCCACTTTATTCTTGGACAACACTGGGTGGCTACAGACTTCTTTTGAAAGTACAGTATTTGCATCTATACAGTTGTATGCATCAATTTAAAAAAATGGGAACCTGATAAAACACTCTGGCAGAGAATATCCTTTACTAGTTTGTATTTTACTACACCACATTTTGGGAGTAGCCATGTCTATCATAAAGCAACATATTGTGAAAAAGACACCCGTTCCATGGCCAATCTGCTTCATTTGCTGCAATCTGCTTCATTTGCTGCAGATACCCTGTACCTGCTCAATTTGCCTGAAAATGGACGATTACATTAGGGAAGAAAGATTTTTGGAGGAAATTTAGTAACATTACAGCATAGGTGAACAGAAAATAAATCTAAGCTACAATGAATAGTTTACTATTTGGCAAAGCTTGCTAGTGCTAGAAAAATTACAGAAGATATAACCTGTTATGTATGACTACAGTGTTATACTTCAATACTATTTGGGGGGAAAGATAACTTAAGATGCAAGCTGACATTAAATCTAACATTTCCTGCTCAATTGTTCCTGCTACCATTGTTGAAGCAGTCCATTAGTACGTCATGTATGAAGAATCCCAGGATTTATCCTCTCTTCATGAAGTGCATTAATAACACATGCACTATCATATATTAATTCACCAGTTTTGCCATTTATGGTCAATGACCAACAAACTAACTATATTAGAGCTAGAAAATCTACACACCCATTAAAATGTTAGGTGTTATAAGTGTAAAAAAATCAGATCAAGATAAATCACTTCAGATTTTTTTTTAGCTTTAATATAACATATAAACTGCACAATTCAACTGAAAAGCAACTTGAAATCTTTTAGGGGGAAGATGATAATAAAAATCTTACAATGTGGTAGCATAGATGTGCACATCTTTATACTTCTTGAAGCACTTGATTTTTTGTCAGCATTCAGTCTTTTGGAATAGGAGCCTATCAGCATGGTACATCTAGCCTTGGGAATCTCTATCCATTCTTCTTTTAAAAAGTCCTTGAAATCTAACAGATTGTGAAGGCATTTCCTGTGCACAGCCCTCTTCAGGTTACCTCCCAGATTTTCAACTGGATTCTAGTCTGGGTTCTTATAATAAAGGTAGAAAAAAAAATCTGCAGTGATTTATTTTTGTCTAATTTTATTTCTTCATCTCAAAAACCTGACTTTTTAACAGGGGTGTGTCAACTTTTTATATCCACTGTATAATCCCAAAACAACATATAAAAGCTCAAAAACAATAAGAATAATAAAACCATACAATTCTACCAATTAAAATTTACACATATATTAAACAAAAAGATAAAAATATAAAAAAGCAAAACAAAATTGATAAAATTTAGGCAAGAGAATAAAAGAACTTTCTAATGGTTTCCAAAAAGGAACCTACCCTTGTAAGTTGCTTATAGTGCTTTTCTAAAGAGCAACATCATGGACCCTTTGGCAAATCTCAACTTTTGCTGTCTTTAGCAGGGTGAATAAAAATCAATTTAAAAAGTAATTTTAAAAAATCAGATTTTTAAAATTTAAATCGAGATTTTTTTAAAATCAAATTTATTTTAATAAAATGCTTTTGGAGTAAAAATCTATCTAAAGATAGTTTTCTATTTAAGATATATTAATAATTTAGTTTATTCAGCATGAAATGGAGCTTAATTATGTAGCACGAGGCTGCTGTATATTCTGCAATATTGGGATTGTCAGTGAGTCAACAGCGGATCAGAGGAGCTGCTGTGGGACAGAGGTGATAGTTGCTCTTTAAAATTTGTGATTTAAATCAAGTTGATTTAAATCAAGCCTTTTTACTAGTGATTTAAATCAATTTGATTTAAATCAATTTGATTTAAATCAAATCCACCCTGGTCTTTAGGCCTAGAAGTAGCCAAGAATGAATAAATAGGCCCCACGGCACAGGTCAGCTGTGATATTTATGTCACATCTTGATACAAAATCAAGAATTAGTCAGCCAATAAAAAACAGAAGTTTAAACCAATAAAATAGACAACAAACTTAGGCTACTTATTCCAAAGGGATCACTCCTGTTTCCATGAGAATTAGAATGTTTGAAATACAAAATGGAACCTGAAAGAATGCT